CCATCAAAAAAAACAAAACAAAGTCAACGCTTTCCTCGTACACGTGGACTTCCTCGTCGAAGTTGCGAACATGTAACAGGAATTGAACGCGGCGCACATCGCGCGCGGACGCCTGGCCAACCCTATGCGGGACCTCTCGCCCTACCTGCCAAGAAACACCGCAAGTTCGACGTTTGTCTTGCCAACGTGTACTTCCCCCTCGTCGGCGCTGCGAATCGCGCAGCGGAAATGGGGCGCGGCGCGCATCGCGCGGGGACGCCTGCTCGTCAACATGGACTTTCTTGTCGTCGACGCTGCGGGCCGTCAGGTTGAGGAGCTGGGCGGGCGGCAAGTCACAATGCCTCAAACAAATAATAGCGTTTCAAGCAAGTGCCTCAGGAGACCCCCAAGCGGTCGAAAACTGGCGCCGAGGAGGTCCTGGGGGGCAACACAAATATTGATTTCATTCGGTGCTTGAGAGACTGCAAGGCTAATACCTACTTGTATCGACAATGTTCCGACCTGGAAGATCGACACAAGAGGACCTCAGGCGCATGCCAGGAAGCCCCCAGGGCCCCCCCGCGAATTCCAAAGAGGCATGATCTTCTCCCTCCCTCAGTCCCCCCCGCCCCCCCCTCTCTCCCCCCCCCCTCTTCCCCCCCCCCCATCCCCCTCCCCCTCCTCTCCTCCTCCCCCCCCCCCTCCTCCTCCTCCCCCTCCTCCTCATCCTCCTCCCCCTCCTCCTCCCCCACCTCCTCCTCCTCCTCCCTTCCTCATCCCCCTCCTCCATGCGCGGCGGGGGCGAAGCGATTGGCGGCGCAACGCGCGCGGCTGGAATGAGACGCGGCGCGCTTCGCGCGCTGGACACGTTGCCGCCGACGATGCGACGTGAGAGGCTGGAGCGGGGCGCGGCGCACATCGCGCGCGGTCTTGTTGCTCGTCGACGTTGCTCAATGCGCGGCAGGGGTAGGGCGCAACTCACGTCGCGCGCTGAACGCGCAACCGCCCGCGATATAAGACGAGCGACAGGCGTCGGACGCGACGCACTTGCTTCTTACGTTGTGGGAGGGCGGGCGGGAGTGGACGCTGCCCTCTAGCTCGTTCGAGCTGGCTAACTTGACCACTGTTCCCAATATCCCCCCCCCCCCAGGCGACCGGGGCAACCAGCGCCGCTGCGGGCGCCCCCCCCCCCCCCCCCCCATCCCTTGAAAAAAATGCAAACACGCTCCGCCTCCAAATTCAGAGCACGCGCAGCGAACCCGATGCGCCCCCCCCCCCCCCCACACACCATCCCGGTCAAAAAAAACCATAGAGAGCACACTTGGCGGCGGCGGCGGCTGCGGCGGCTGCGGCGGGGGCAGCGGCTGCAGCGCTGCGGCGGCGGCGGCGGCGGCGGCGGCGGGGGGCGGCGGCGGCGGCGGCGGCGCGGCAGCGCGGCGGCGGCGGCGGCGGAGGCGGCAGCGACTGCTGCGGCGGGCGGCGGCTGGCGGCGATTCGGCAGCGTGGGCGGCGGCGGCGGCGGCGGCGGCGGCGCGGCGGCGGGCGGCGCGGCGGCGGCGGCGGCGGACAGCGGCGGCGGCGGCGGCGCGTCGGCGGCGGCGGCGGGCGGCGGCGGCGGCGGCGGCGGAGGCGGCGGCGGCGGATTCGCCCCCAGTAGCTGCCCATTCAAAGACGACTGCTGCATATGCTGCGGCTCGGGCCAGGCTCGGGTGCTACGCATGCGTTGAGAGGGCGGGCGGGAGTGAGCGAGACGGCTCGCGGGCGGGGAGGGGGGCTCTTGACCCTGCCCAATACCCCCACACCACCCCGCCCCGCGCGCAATCTGGGGCCCTTCATCGAGGACCTTCACACTGGAGGCCCGGGCACCAAACTTCTGCTCCAAGGGGGCGGCCTCCATGTGCCTCTTCGCCAGGGGGCCAGCATACTCCGCCCGCGAGTGCAGCCCAACGTAAGCGCCCGCCAAAATGCGCAGCGAGCGCTCAAGCGCATCCCCATCCCCACCCCAGCCCATCCTGGTTGGTCCGCCCTCGGGCGATCACCTCCAGCCTCCACTGCGGCAGCTGGGCTCGCCCACCCTGCTCGCGATGTTCTGCCCAAGTCGTGCCTCGCGCTCCGAACGCCTCCTGCTCCAGCGCGCGCACGTGCTGGCCCCGCGCCTGGGCGGCCGCCTCGGGCGCGTCGAAAGCCTCCACTGGCGAACGCCTCGGCGGCTCGGGTGCGCGCCCGATCGGCGCGTCGCACAGTGGCTTCGGCCGACTGAGCGTTCTCGCCCACCTCTCCCTCGGGCGCGCGCCTGGCGCGAGCGAGCCCCGCGGGCTTGCGCGGCGCCGGCGGCAACTCCTCCCGCGGAGCCACCTTCGCGACCTGGCCCCCCGGCGCCTCCGACGCGATGAAATAATCGATGGTGGCGTTGGCCCGAGTCGCACGGCAGGTTCCACGCGCCGCCGATGGGGCCACCGGCGCCGCCACCTCCCGCTCGAGCGCGTTTAGCTCGGCCAGCGCGGCCGGGCCGTTCTGAAAATCGCCGCGCGCGACCCACGGGGCTGCAAGGCCCCGAAGTGCCCGATCACGTGCTCCAGGAAGCGCCCCCCGCGGCACGGCATGCCCACGGCCGCCCGCACATGCGCCGACGTGACCGCCAGGCCTCCGCGACCCGCATCAACCCAAGCTGCCGCAGCTCTACCTCGACTGCCCCACGGGGAAATACCCCGCGTCTTCTGGCCAATGACGAAAGCCATGCCCATGTCCTTCAGCACCGCCATAGCAGCGCATGCCGACCCCCCCCCCCCGACCTGCGGCGGGCACCGCCCAGCGCCTGGGCCCCGCCAGGCCGGGGGCCCTGCGCTTCCATGCCGAGGCCAGCTCCCGCCCGCGTGTCCTCCAACAGGTTGCGCTCCCGAACCGCACATATGCGCCTCACGCCTGCATCCTCGGGCCCCGGCAGCTTCTCCTTGATTGTGCCCGAGCTGGAGCCGTCGAAGGTTCACAGCGCGGCCATCTTCCGCTGAGGACTGGGCTTTGCTGGCGGGCGTTGGAGCTGTTGCAGCTGCACGTATCTCAAGACCTTCGCATAGCCTCTCCACTCGCGAGTGGGGAGCTGCTGAGGCACGTCAGCACCCCCCCAGCATGTCGCAATAGCTGCCGCGAACGCACTGCATGCGAGGCGAGGGTCGCGACTTCGAGGGGCTGAACCGCTCCACCCTCGCCTCAATCATCTCAGCAATCCCTCCTGGGGCCTGCCCACCAGCGCCCACCTCAAGTTCTTCTGCGCCTGTCACAGCATCGTCGGGCGCCTGCGCCTCTGGTCACCCCTGAGGGTCCCAGTCCGCGCTCAACCAAGCTGGCACGCGCTGGCTCTGTCGCCAGTGGCTGACCCCTGCTGCGCGCCACGGCGCAGGCGCATACCCGAGGTCCGCGCCGTTCAGCACGAAGAGCAGGCTGCTACCCCAGACGCTCTCGCTTAATATGGTTGGCGTACACACTGACACGCGCGGCCTGACGTCGCTGGTAAAGCTCTGGCTGCCGTTCAGGACCAGGCGCGTCTTCAGTGCCGTCGAGCCACGACCGCTCTGCGACGTCGTCGGGCACAGCTTGACCCACCACCACGTTGCAGGCTCCCTCTACGTCTGGCTGGGCTGCCGCAGGTGACTCGCCCCCGCCTGGCTGGTCAGCAGAATCAGCACGAGGAGCAGCTGCAGCCGCAGCCAGCTGGGCCCCCAGCTTGCCCAGGCCCCCCGCGAAGCCAAGGGCGCCCAGACGGGCGCCCAGCTTCGCGACGCAAGGCTCCAGCTGCACCCTGGCGACGTCGATGTCGGAGGCAGGGCGCCTGGGCCCCTCAGCAGCCACGCGCGCCTGGATCTCCAACTCGTGGGCCCGCGCCTCCGTCTCCGCCTGACGCAGTTCCTGGCAGCGCTTCTGCTGCTCCAGCAGGGCCTGCTGCATCTTGTGCGCCGTGGCCTCCTCAGTCACCCGCTGCTTGCTGACGCGTGTCGTTCATGTTGTCGCCTCACGGCGCTGGGACGCCAGGGGCTTGGCCTTGTCCCTCTCCTCGCGCGCCGCTGCGATACTCGCATCGTAGTCCGCCAGCGCCTGGAGCCGCCATGACGGGGGGGCCGCCCCGCTGTCCTTGCCAGGGTGCGGCAACTCCTCGATTTGCTTCCTGGCGCCGAGCAGCAGATCCACCTTGGTATTGTCCTTGAGAATGTTGTCCTTGCCCTGAATGTGTTGCACCCACTGCGGCAAAGCCCCATCGGTGCCAGCAGCTGCCGCCGCGTTGCCCTGCTGCCAACTGCCGCTGTCCTTTGAAAGCTTCTGCAGCTGCTGCTGTAGGACCCCCGCCAAGGCTGCTTCGACTTGAGGACTGAGCATGCCCTTACCCTTGCCTCGCCCTTTGCCTCCTTGGCCTCTCGGCCTCTCGAGCCCGCACCCTCGACAGCACGACCTCGTGGCCCAGTTGCTGCCCGTGCCACACACCCCGCACGTCCACCTCGACCCCTTTGCAACCGACGCGGCGCCTGGTGGAGGCCAAACCGACATCGCTGCTCCACCGTGGCCACCACCGAACACGAGGCCCGGCTTCGGCTAGCGCTTCTTCCCGCCGCCCTTGACCTGCCACTCGCCATCGCTGCCCGCCATCGGTGCGCCACACGCGCCGACACGAGCTCACGAAGGGCAACTGGCAGCGGACTAGCGGTATCCGTGCGCTCCGCTAGAGAACCCATCGCTTTGGGCCAAACTACGGCAAGAGACCTCGGGAAGCCCGAAGAGGCACCCAAGAGGCCCCAACATTCTTCCCCACAGGCCCCCGAAAGCCTTCCGAAAGGACCACAAGAAACATCCCTGAGGACTCTGGCCCACGTCGTCGTCGCCGCCACTGCCGCCGTCGTCGTCGTCGTCCCCCTTCAGGGTCGGCGGTACCAATCGTAAGGCTTTCGCAATACGATGACAGAAACATCAGGGTGTCTGAAGTATGTTGTCCAAAGATTGAAGTGTTACTGTACAGCAGCAGCAGCAGCAACAACAACAGGGGGAACAGGAGAAAGAGGCAAGAGTGAGAGGAGGAGGGCACACCTCACCGTACCTGTGGTTCCAGCTGCCCTGACCATCCTCACGATATCTTGGGTCCCCCGCGGAGCGAGATCACCAGCTTGGCCAGCTCCTCGAAACAAGACCCTCGTTACAACAGACGCTCCGCTCCTGCTCCTGCTCCTGCTCCTGCTCCTGCTCCTGCAACTCCTCCTCCTCCTCCTCCACCTCCTCCTCCTCCTGAAACTCCTCATCCTCCTCCTCCTCCTCCTCCTCCTCCTCCTCCTCCTCCTCATCCAAGAGGTTTCTGGCCTTTCTGCTCGCCCTCCTCCTCCTCCTCCTTCTCCTCCTCCTGCTCCTCCTCCTCCTCCTCCTCCTCCTCCACGAGCTCCTGGTGCAGGCCCCGATCGTCGGAGACGAGACGGGGGTCCCACCTTTGTTACGTATTTCGTGCGATGCGAGTGTGCAGCACAACCACCAGCCTGGTGAAGGCCTTGCGGAGCCCTGTTTAGGGCCCAATCATGCGGGTTTGGCCGCCCAGAGGTCGAGGCTTCCAATTCGACGGAGTCCCCATCCTCCGAAGCTCGGGGATCTGGTGGAGCCGTCGTTGAAGTCCGAGCTTTGTGGGAAGAGGTTGGTTACCTCGGAGTCCTCGAAGCGGTGCGCTGACCCTGCAGCTCCTGTGTGCGGTTTGGACATCCCAGAGGCTCTCGTCGATATGTATCGTATGGCACAGTTGCACGGTATTGCTGATCCACGTGAAGCGGTTGCATTTTGTCGTGACGAGAGGCGTCGTGAACGTGCGGCTCAGCCCCTTGAGAGGAGGAGCGATGAGCCCGAGGACCACGATTACTAAGGTAGCTGGGTCGCTGGATGCGAGGGATGTCTGCCAAGGCCCCAATCGTCCAATAATGTCCTCCTCCTCCTCCTCCTCCTCCTCCTCCTCCTCCTCCCCCTTCTCCTCCTCCTCCCCCTCCTCCATCTCCTCCTCCTCCTCCTCCTCCTCCTCCTCCTCCGACCTTCCTTCCTCCTCCCTCCTCCCTCCTCCCTCCTCCTTCTTCTCCTCCTTCTTCTCCTCCTTCTTCTCCTCCTCCTTCTCCTCCTTCTTCTCCTCCTTATTATCCTCCTCTTTCTCCTCGTGGAGGAAGATTAGACTGGTGGTCTTTCGAGGGCATCCTGTCCTTCACGAGCGGGCCGTTGGTCTGCCGGTACTTCTCCTGGGCCGCCTGGAGACCCGTGGATGTACCCGGGCCCAGTGGCGCCCGCGAGGATGGAAGGCAAAGGGGTGGGAAAGAGAAGCGCGGGGGGGGGGGGGGGAAGAAGGCGGGCGAAGGGAGGAGAAGGGATGGGAAGAAAGCTGGGGCGAAGGGGACTGGAAGGGGGGCGGGGGGGGATGAGAGGGGGCAGGGGCCAGAGGGGATGAGGGGGGGGGCAGAGAGGGGCACGGGGGGGCAAAAGGGGGGAGAGGGGACAGGGGGAGCGGACGGGGAGGACGGACCAGGTGGAGAGGGGGAATGGGGGAGGGGGGAGGCGGGGAGGTTGGGAAGGGGGAGGAGAAGGGAGGGGGAAAGAGGAGGGAGCAGAAGGGGGAGGAGAGGAGAAGTGAGGGGTGGCGAGGGGCAGGGGAGGGCGAAGGAGAAGAGAGACTCCTCCGCGTCCTGCTCCTGTTCGGCTCAGCCTGTGAGTCTGCTTATCTGCAATGTTTCCCCTGTTCAGGAGTCTCGTCGATGTGTACGGAAACGTTCCCCCCGTTCGCCTGTGCGCCCAGCAAAGCTGTGTGGTGTCCCTCCTCATCCTCCTCCTCCTCCTTCTCCTCCTCCTCCTGCTCCTTCTCCTTCTCCTCCTCCCCCTCTTACTTCGTCATCTTCCTCCTCCTCCTCCTCCTCCTCCTCGCCATCGCGATCTCCATGATCATCGCCACCGCACAATCGTCATCAGCATCATCATGTCATGGTCGTCGTCATCGTAATCATCATCATCACCATCACCATCGCCATCTCCATCCTCCTCACTTTCATCATCACCGACATTATCACCATCCCTGTTACATCGTCATCGATATCGCCATCGCCCTCAATCATAGTCAGCGTCGTCATCACCAGCATCACCGCCCTCAACCGATCCTGGCCTACACACATCCCAATACGATTGTCACTAGGATTAGAATTACTACTACTACTACTACTACTACTACTACTACTACTACTACTACTACTACTACTACTACTACTACTACTACTACTACTACTACTACTACGACGACTGCTACTACTACGACTACTACGACTACGACTACTACTACTACTACTACGACTACTACTACTACTACTACTACTACTACTACTACTACTACTACTACGACTACTACTACGACTACGACTACGACTACTACTACTACTACTACTACTACTAATAATGCTAGTTCAGCTGTTACCTACCACGATTACTACTACTACTAATAATACTACTACTACTACTACGGCTACGACTACTACT